CTATGACAAACTGACTTCCCCCCTGACACCAGTTAATTGCATTTTTCGCTAAACTGGAGCAAAGCTGGCACACCTCCAGATATTGCATACTCAACTGACCACACGACAAGTTTGCACTCAGTAATAGTATTAGTAATCAGTAATAGCTCGGCTGGCTTCTACAGTAAATATGAGAAACCGTTCTGTTGTTGCCCGGTTACAGACGAGATGCTGTATTGCATCGCGGCGACTTCGCACTCACCATGGCGATGAAGCGGCCAATGAAGCGGAAGTAATGCAGATGATCCGGGTTGACACCGGACGCCGGGTTGATTTGCAGACAGTAGTTGTTGTTGTTCGCATACTCAAACAGGCAGTACATCGGGTTCAGGACTTCGTGCGACAGCAGAAAGAACCACTCCCTGTCAACCACGCGAGAAAACAGCCAGCGTTAGCTGCAGAAACCTGTACTGAGCTGAGGGACACACGCCGCACTAACTATGAAACGCGCAAACGAATCAAGTCTTAATGAAAACACGACCTTCGCAATAAACGCCATCCACAGTTCACCACTCTCGTAGAAAAAAAGGAGCTGACGAATGACAATGCAGAAAACGATGACGTTACATGCACGCGTCGAGAGACCAGACGCTAGCGCGCTGGTCAACAAACCTCGCGACTCCTCCGTAATCAAGTCCCTCCTCGCCGCGGAATATGATGTAGAGTCTCCCGCGAAGGTCGTACGGCTGGAACTTCATTATCTGCGCGAAAGCAATGGCACCGCGTCAGAATCACTTTGCAAACAGTGACAGCCTCCGTCGCGCGCACGGGCATAAGGCGCCGCGGACCGACGTCATTAATAACTGATCCGTCGAATTTGCTTGACCTCGACTCGCAAATCTCGAAAACTCGGTGAATCAGTGCAATCTATTTCGCGATGATTCTGCGACCTATATCAGCTTGCTCATTATGCGGCGCACACCCGCGCACTCGCCCGACAATGCACCGGGGAGTGCGACGCCGTCTCTCGTTCGGCTGCAGCTTTCACTGTTTTCACGCCAATTATAACGCGGAAAAGCTGTAATAGAATTCAAACGAGCGTGGTGGAGATAGAAAAGTCTTCTTGCCAAACTGCGAGATAGTGTGGGGCGGCTAGCACTGCCAGCCTTTCTCAGTAAAGCCGCGGTGTAAAACGGAAAGGCGCAGGCGGGAAGCGGGGGCCACACACTTACCTGCTGGAAACTGTCCTCAAACAATGTCTGCCTGGCAACGGTGATCTTGACATACTGCGGCAAGGCGTTCGACTGCAAGGAAATATGAAGATTACCAAGAAAGAAAGAAAGAGAGAGAGAGAGAGAGAGAGAGAGAGAGAGACAGAGAGACAGAGAGACAGAGAGACAGAGAGACGAGAGAGACAGAGAGAGAGAGAGAG